AACTTAAAGAAGTCCAGACGCTTTTCTTTGCAAGCTCCTTTGACCATCCTTAAACTTGATTTTCATTTTGAGAAGGGAGGAGTTAACCCTGCACTCTGAGCCGCAGGCATCACAGTTTGACTCTTGGTTCCCTCAGATAGCTCTGACATTAAACTACAAGTCAAAACTGGCACCGTGGAAGACGACTTCAAGGTGCACAACCCCATAAAAATCAAAGGATGAACACGGCTGGACTTTGCGGCTAAAAACAGTTCGGCTGTAGTTAGTTAGTGAGTCTGTGATTAAAACACGACTTCCTGATCTAAACATAGCAGCTGAGCTGGAAGGTGTGTAGATACACCTGAGAGGGTGACCTCTGCTGGGAGATCAGCCAAATTCATATCAGGTAAGCTCTATCAAAGGATGATGCTTGCATGCTGGGATGAACTCCTTTGTCCCTCTAAATGTGAGGATTCTGCAGATTGTGACAATAACTCTAACATCTGGAAATGTGAGCAGCTCTGGTGAGCAGAGGGTGGCTTCAGACTAGATGCAGGGAAGTCAGGGTTTAAGGATGGGGAAGAGTGCTGGGTGAGGAAGACAGGGCTACATACAAATATATTTGGTCCAGGAGCAGTGCTAAGAGGGCCAGCCAAGGCCTGGAAGAAATCAGGAGGCTTAGTAAAGACGAGCTCCTCCTCCTCCTCAAAATCTGCTAGAGTTTTTAACAGGTCAGGAGGTAGAAGAGGCGAGCTCTTGTTGTCCTAGTGAGAGATGAAGCAAGAAGAGGAAGAACAGAAAGAAGAAAGAAAATGAGAGGGGGAAATGTAAAGAACAGAAAACGAAAGAAGGCAAGCCAGTAAGACCGAGGTGGAGAGAAGGGAAGTTACGCTGAAGGCTACCAAAGCTTGCAAGCTGACAGAGAAAAAAGAAAAATCATCACTAAACAAGTCAGAGCGTCTGCTCATGACCGGGTTTCTTTAGACATGTGTAACACTACCAGAGTTTCTGATATCAGTATAGAGTGAGCTTCAAACTTCATCAGCCTTCTGTGAGAGGCAGAGGAAAAGAACAAGTATGGGTCCATTAAACCTTTCTAAAAGCATTTTTATACTGGCAGGAAATTCTTTAAAAATCTAATTTAATCTCATTTAAACCCAGATTACCTGGAAAATGACTGATGTACATAGGGCAGGGCGATATGGCCAAAAATATTTATCACGATATATATTTGAAAATTTGCGATAACGATATAACTGACGATATAATTTCTGCGAGACAAAAATACAACTCCACAACTTTACTAGCGCAAAAAAACCATCCATTCATTTTACTTAAACAAGCAGCTGTTTTTATGTGCATTAAGGCTATATAAACATTTAACAGTGCAAATGCAAATTCCTTCCTGAAAGTTTAACCAAAAGGCATTTCCAGTAGAAATGTGCTGACGTATCCTGAGCATAACCATGTATAATATCCACTGAAGTTAAAAAGAGCTGCTTTGCAACATTAAACTGCAGTGTGCCAAATAAAAAAGTCAAATATGTATTTCTCGGACCATAAGGTGCACGAGATTATAAGACACATTAAGCGAAACAAAGCAGTCAGATAAATCAAACTTTATTCAACTCATTCTTCTCGTTTCCTCCACTTCTGTAACACTGATTCATCAATGCTGTACTCTATCACAGCTGCTCTATTCTCATGTTGTTGCAGTATATGAATGACTAACCTCGTATTGTGGATGGATTATCTCAGTTGTTCTCCTGACTGAAGTTTGGTCCGTTTACAGCATCCTGCCATGTGATTGCATTTGTCTCTAAGCGTCAGGAACCTTCACGTTAACTTTTATCGAGTGGAAAAGTGTTAGCGTTCATCCTCCAGCTTCACTGTTTATGTTATGCTAACATAGCTGTGTCGCTAGCCACCACGTAGCACATCATTATATACCAGCTAGGCCAACTTCAGTAACCCTACAAACGTCACTGCTG